GGGGTGGGCAACAGTTGGGGCAGCAGTTGGGGGGGCATGTGGGCCTTGCAGGGGGGGTGGTAGCCTCTGCGGGGGCCATTTGGCCCCCACTGGGGGGCTGTACCCCTTATGTGGGGGCTGTACCACTTGTTTGGGGGTTGGAACCCCTTGTGTGGGGGCCAGACCCCCTGTTGGGGGGCCAAACCCCTTAAATGGGGGGCCATCTGCTTGTGGGAGTGCAGCAAAACGTGTATTCGTGAATTCATGTAACATGTATTTAGAGTTCACTTTATTATTATGATAAGAGACTTGCTTTACCACTGTAGGTATATCAATAAAACATTGTCCAACTGATCGCTTTCTCTGTCTTGCTCTCTCTCTCTCTCTTTGTAAATGGTCTTTTGTTTTACTTGTGGAGGGACATGGATTTGGGGGTATTTTACAGAGTGACTTTGGGATTTTTTTTATCAGGGATTTTTCAGTTTTCCAATAGGAAACACCGGAATTCCTGCTAGGGAGGCCAGTGGCAGGACCCTGCCTGCTCAGAACTGGCACCTTGGACCCATCCGGCTATGGCTGACCTCCTGGACAAATGGGGCCAGGAGGACATGCTTTGACAGTTCAAAACAAGCCACCACACCCAGAACAGATTCTGGGTGATAGCTGCCCAGATGGCTGGGAAGGGGGCACAAATGGCAATTGTGCCGCACAAAGGCCAACCCTGCAACTGCAGTCCACTGGCAGCTGGCCCAGAGGGGCAGATGCCTCTACTGGTTCTGCAGTCCCCATCTGAGTCTGGCAGGTGCACAGCAGGTCACAGCCAGGCAGCTGCCCCCACTGCCAGACTGCTGCAGTGGGTAGAGGGTGCAGGGAGCTCTGAGGGCTGTTTCAGCAGTCCAGCTGGCACAAGGGGTCCCCAGGTACCAATTGGCTGGACCCCAGAAGCTCCTGAGGGCTAGTAGCCCTGAGCTACTTGCCAGGGTGGTTTTTTATACTGCTTGGGCCAGGACAGGGCAGCTTTTTATACTGCTGGGGACAGCACAGGTGCTGGCCCTGGGCTCTAGCTCCCCCTGGTGGAAGATCCGGGAGGAGCCAGGCAGGGTTATTTTGCCCCTAGTGGCACAATTTGCTCAACAACAAAGTGCATGTCCAAGCATGTGTGCTGAGGCAAAAAGCCCCGGCTCAAATTTGCACCACTTCTATTTGAGCTGCTGCACCCACTGATGTCACCTTTCTGAGTTAAATCAAGGATGAAATTAGCCCCTTGGTCCCTCTTGTGAATAAGCCAGAAAATAGGTGTAAATATGATATTAGCTTAAGTCGTGACCTTCTGGCTCAGTCTGGCAACGTAAGATGGCTTAAACTCCACACAGAAGAATGGAAGTAGAAATGGGATACAGGAAAAGGGGGTGAAAAGTATAAGACCATAGGGCATCTTTACACATGCTCCAGGCTTGGGGGAGAACCATTCTGAGAGACAGTCTAATTAAAGTGCCCTCAGCATCTCATGTGTTCAGCATCCTGCACTTGAAAATGGTGGTGGGGACACTTTAACTAAAGTTCATCTGATGAGCTTTAGTTAAAGTACCCCTGCTGCCATTTTGAAGCACAGGGATGCTGATTACACAAGATGGGGAGGCTGCTAGATTGTGCTAATTATCACACTCCAGCAACCTTAATAAAATCTGCTCTGATGCACTGTAATTACAGTGTGTCAGAGCAGTATCCCTGCACATATAAAGATCCTATCTCACAGGAGAAGTCCCTCAAAGTCTATACCATGGTAGAGTAAATGGCAGAAATGCAGCTAGCAGGACAGTGTACAGAAAACTTGGAAGGAGCTTAAAATATTGAAAAGAAGATGCATCACATGGATAAGGGAATAATGTTTTCCTCCAAAGTTTTACTACTTAGCTGTTAGGAATCTGATATGTTATTGACAAGTAACGGAGCAAAACAACGTGGATAAGCTCATGCTGGGGCTCTCAGGCTGTGGCCAGAATAACCTGAGATGCAGAAAATATGAGTGAAAAATACTTATGGACATGTGGCAGCAGCATAAACGATGGCAATTGCCCCATCTGATCCAAGAGTTTGGAAGGTAGTTAGTACAACCCAAATGAATGACTAACATTAGTGGTGGAGTCGGGTGCATCCTTAGGCAGCTTTTCCCAGGAAAGGTCAGCTGTAGTTTAATACTGTCCCTTATGTGAGGTTACCAGAAGGGTGACAGTGTAAAACCAGTCTGCCTTCTCTCAAAGGCAGAATGCTTGTTTTCAGGCTGGTACAATTTATACCACCAGGCACTAACAGCAGTGATTCAAACCCAGTAACCCTATCTCTATTTAAGGACTTTTTGAATGAGCCATGTTGATGTTCATCTGACTTCTAATCTTATTCTTCCAACATTTTTTTATTTCTATTTTTATGGATTTTATTTCTATTTTTAGGATTTGGAAGAGGAGGATGATGACCAGCCCCTCAGCCTGGCTTGGCCTGAAACTCCACGCAAACAGATCACATACCTTATTTTTTTACCCATTGTTTTTCCACTGTGGGTTACCTTACCAGATGTCAGAAAGCCTGTAAGTAATGCCCCTTCTGCTGTTACATACTTTAATATATTTTGCAAAATGGACTGGTTTCATAAAACAGTTAAGCATCCCTTGTGTTGTGCATTAGTTACCCCTGTTTGACACAGTTTTGATGTAATTTAACTCAGTGCAGTAGACTCAGGTAAGCTAACAGATCAGATCTGTCTATGGGCTAGAAAATTTCAAACATCAGAATGGGGCAGTACTTACATTCTTAGGCTTCAGTTTCTCTGTTTTTATGCTTCTATAGCATGTTTTTTCATGCTACTATCAGAGGACATGGGTCTGTAGAAAATGACCAACATCAAATAGCAGGTTGTTAATAACAGAGCGCATCTACACATGCATTAATGTGCTGTTGTTAATCTGCATTGTTTGGTACGTCTAATATGAAGTACTAAATGCACAATAACTAGTGCTACTGCACACTAGTGCTGCCATACAGTCTTTTTGTGTTGCTTAATGTGCAGTAGACTAATTTTACTGCCCACAGATTTTGCCCTGACATGTTAATGTGAAGTAGAATTAGACTAATGCACATTAAGCATCTCATAGATGTGCCCACAGAGTGGGGAAAAAAGTACCTTTTGGATTGATGCGGGCTATGTATGAGTATTGCTTTCAAGAATCAGCTCACTTATTTAGTGATGCAAAGGAAGAGAAATATAGATTTTTTTTTAGTAGATTCAACCAAGATGTTTTTCATTATTTTTTTCATGTGGAAAAAGTACAGCACTAGAATCATCAACCTTAAAGCAGTATAAAAATTATCTGAAAGGTAATAGCTGGGTTGGAATTTATATGCATAAATATTTTATGGCACAAAGAGAGAGGCTGTAATAATTCCTTCCCTGGGCCTTGATGGCTCCATTTCTAAATGTCCATTATACAGCACTTAACCACCAAGGAAGTCCCACACACAAGGCAGTTCCTCACCCATTAAAATCATGCTGTGACATTGGCTCCATACTGATTCAAAGGGAAGACTGCCACCTATTGGAACCTTAATACTACTGCCTGCTGTACCTAGGTGATCCTTGGAATCACCTAGGATAACAGCATATCACCTTCCATAACAGCAGTTACCTTGCCTAACCCAGCTAAACTTATCTGAACCAACTTAGTTTGTGAGATCTAACAAGATCTCTGCAAAGCAGGGGCTCACCACGCAACAGGGTACAGAGGTAGATCAAACACTAATAGCTAATTCAGTTCTCAGATTAACGCAGGCCAGTTGTGTAATGGTTTTTAAATTATTATAGGCTACAAATAAACATGGTCTTCGGAGCAGGATTAGCTGTGCTGGGACGTCTGCCTCATTGGCCTCTATAGGCATTGACAAACTTTGTGCTGCAGGGTGGGGTCCCTGCCATGCCCAGGGCTTCAGGGGCCTGACCTGAACGACAGTAACTCCAGATGCCATACCCCAAGTCCCACATGCAGGTCCCTTGCTTGCAGATATGTACCCCAAGCTGGGGCACAGCCACCTGATATGAGCCCCATAGCAATCCCCAGGAAGGATCTCCTGCAGGGGAATTCCCATGCTGTGCAATAAACAAACAGATGTCCTCCCCACAAGCTGTGACTGCCTTTGGACATGGTAGTATTTTGGGGCACTTGGAGTACACCAAAGGGCTAAGACATCTGTTTGCTCGCAACTTGTGCCAGCATAAAAATGTTATGTGGGCCCAAGAGCAACATCTGTTGGCACATACAGTTGTCTCTGAGGTTCCTGGACAATTTACAGTCATGTTTGTCCTTTTGTTTCCTGTGCTTTATTAAAGTAAGGAAAAAATAATGAGAACACAAGCTATAGCGCACAAGACACAAACTACCTCAGGAGCTGGCAACCTTTTGCCACTGCACATCAGAGTTTACAACCCAGCCTCTTGCCAAGGGCCATAAATCTCTACCCCTCCAGAGAGCTGAAGCCACCTGCCTGAGGATAAGTGCAGGCGGAGGTGAAGCAAGCTCCTGCAGCAACCTGGGAAGAAGGCAGATTGCTACAGGGGTGGCAAGGAGGATGCAGAATTTTACCCGCCACCACTCTCTTTGCACTATGGTGACAGCTGCTGCTGCTGCAGCAGTGTGGGCTCAGGCTGCTGCAGCTGAGGGGCAGGCTCACTGCAGTGCAGGCTGCCTCTGATGCCTTGTTCACACCTCTCACACCAGATATGGGTGAGGAGCTGCACCTCCCATAGCAAAAAGGCAGTGGGGAGTTGGAAATGGCACCATTCCATTCAACCCCTGGCCTCTATACATTACTGACTGCAAGGCAGCCTGGCTTCCAGGGTTTGGCAGCTCTGAGGTGCATCTGCTAGAGCAAAGACTCTTAGGAGGGCATTCTGACACCTTCTCTAAGTCAGCGCTCAGGGTAGGGCCCTGCTCACCTTCCCCTCCAGCAGGAGTTGCAATCCTGAGTGCATGCAGGGCTGCAGAGAAGAGCGCTGGGGAGGGCAGAGGAGCCTGGTGCAACTCTGTGCCAACCAATCTTCTATGACACCCTGTCCTCTGTGCTGCCACGGGCCAGGTCAGACCTTCCCCAGCTGGATCCACAGGCTGAATAAGTTGGGCCATAAGTTGCCGACCCCTGAATTATGTCATAACTATTTTATTAATTACAAACCTGGTGACAAGAGAAACGTAAGCCCAGTCTGAAGTAAATGAATCATTCCAATGAGGGCTAACCAAAGACAGAGAAAAAAGAGTATTGTTTTCTTCTAATCTCTTGCAGGAATAGTAACTTTGATTGTTATTTGTTAATGGTAATCAGACAGAGGTACATGCCTAAAGAGGTTCTCTTCAGTGCAGTGTATGTTAGCCTTACATGAGCAAACTTCAATTAAGGAAAGAGTTTTGCTTGAGTAAAAGCTGAGAAAAACCTGAGTAACTGTGGACTTCAAGATTTGTATTTTTCTGTACATTCTCTTTAGTATCACTTTAGAATGAAATGGAGAAGACTGTCTTAATGAAAAGCACTGATCGTTTTTAATCTGAGCTTTTTATTTGGATTCACCAAAGGTTGATTATTAATAATAGTAACTGTCTATAATAATTCATCATGCCTTAGCTCTCTTATATTTACATCTCCAAGCGATGATAGATGGTAGATGCACGAAAGCTAATAAATTATTACTGGAATAATCCCTCAAGTATTTTACTTTCTTCTCCTTGAATCAAAAATAGATTTAAAACTTCGGGGAGACAGGGTCTATATCCGCATTCTACCTTCTGCCTCCCACTCATATTTCCCCTCCTCCATGCTGAAAAACTTCAGTTCTGCACCAAATCCACAAGCTGAAATAAGACAAAATAATTTGCTTTCAGATAAAGAATCCTAGCTTTCCAGTTTCCTCTTCTAATGTTTGTGCTTTCTTCTAGTTTTCAGAATTCATCAAGAATTCTTGCCTAGTACCAAAAAACAGCATATGATACAAGACAAGTTGCAAATGTATCTGTTATTTTTATACATGTATTTCTTTGCATACGTATTGAAAAGAGTTCACAACATTTTTGTAGCACTGAATACTTAAAAAAAAAAGTGTTGCCCACCATTATTTTGAATGCAAGTCTCAAACTAAAATTGACAGAGTTTGCAACATTTTTTGTTCATTCTCCTCAACATGTATACACTGCAGAATAGAGCAGTTGTTAACAAGAATGTTTCTGGAAAACCAAAATCTCATGAATATTCAAGTAGCTTCATCTCCATGTGAATAATAGCACTGGTAGTGTTCACACCAGATCTAGCCCATGGATGTCCAATAATTTAGCCCAGATGTCCAGCAGGAAATACTTCACCATGACATAAAGGATGAAGTACATGTGTTTATGTTAAAAATCAGTGGGCAGCAGGGGCTAGGAAGAATCTCATTCACTGAAAAGAATAGCTTGTCACATGGGAATATAGGGAAAGAAGCTGAGCATTGCATGCAGATTGTAATGATGTAATTATAACAGGAGAGGTAGCAGGATGGATCAGTGTGACAAGTTGTTTACTTTGAATATTACTGTCAAAGAATTAACCAGATGGTTACAAAAACTCTCTGTGCCCAGCGGCCTAACTTGTCAAGTATGGTTCATTAGCTTGTTTGTGCCTAATACTCTCACTTATTTAATGCACTCCCCAACCTGCAACAAGGAAAACCTGGTTGATTAGGATGGTTTAAAAAGTGCTTTGGAATTCACATTTACATGCACAGTGTGAGGCAAACCTAAAACACCATTCAGATTTTCAAGGGAAATTTATCATTGGAAAACCTATATGCAAATATAATAATTTTCAGTAGGAAATATCGAGGACCACTGGAGGCTCAGACTGGCACATAAGGTGAGCATGTGTATGCAAAACAACTGTATGATACTTTTGATGTCTTCTCTGTGTCCACTTTTGAAAACTGTTCTCCCCATACTCCCCCCCCCCCCCGGGCTTTTTTTTTTGTTCTCCTTTTATCTCTCTTCTGGCATGTTTTTCACCTGGATCAAACAGGGAATGTCCAACAGCATTTGCCAACACTACATTCAGTTCTAGAAGTCTTTCTCATTTAAGGAACACCAAATGTCTTGCAAAATCTGAATCCTAGCTTATTTAGGATCCTGCTATTTTAATTTTTTTCTGAATTTTTTCAAAATTTTTCTGAATGTTGTCCAATTTACACATAAATGGATTTTTATGTGTAAAATAGAATGATAGGAGGCTATACATTAGTTCAAAAGTGATTTCATAACTGATGTAGTAAGTGACTTACATTAATAAGGAATCGCTGGTTTAATATACCATTTACTTAAAGCCAACTTCATGGAGATAGACCTACTATCACTAGAGCACTGTTAAAGTTACTTGAAGTAAACTGGAGGTAAATTATTTTTTCCCAGAAAACTCATTGTTGACTTTTTGTTCGAATGTCAGTAATAACTAATGTTTAGCTTTTGGAACTGGTCAATTAGAAATTGGTTCTAGTATAAAACTGTGGGCCCTAAATAAAGAAATA